GCCTGCGGGTTGTTGTGCGCAGACCTTCGCTGTAACTGTCTGACCACAATCAGCTCTCCATAGTAGGCCAGTCTTATACTGTTCCACCACACCGTAGCACGACTTTTTCTCAGTGGATGTCCGGTTTCAGAGAGGCCCTCAGCTGCCCATCAGCCGCCAACCACGGTCATCTTCTCGCGTTGTTATTGGGAAACATCTCTTTGTAAAATGCGGTCAACACGAAGTCAAGAACCTTTTCCTCTTGAAGTTATGGAGCGAAGTTCCAGTATTGGCAACCAGTACTGCTTGCTCGCGTCGCTCAGAATAGGCCGAACCCATTTTCTATCCTGAAAGGCCTTAACAGTCGCACGTAGGAACTTTTAAATTTTTCTGTTGACACAACTGAATCTCCATGCAAGTTTTGTGCGGTTTGTCGAGGACTCAATTCGTTGGCTTTCTTTATTTCTCCGTCATCTAGAGCTAGAGGTCAAAATCCACGATCTTCGTCCTCAGGTCCTTTACCTCAGTCTTGGAAGAGCTGAAACCATAGCTGAAAGTGCATCAGAGACTAAGTGTTACTGCTCAATGTTTTGCACACAATGAGTGAGATTCGTTGGCCGTTTTTCCTTGCTTGAATATATACGCTCAGACGATGATTTCTGATCAGTCATCTTCGAGCAAAAGTTTTGGCTCGAAGAACATCCGCTCAGTGGCGCCTAAGATTTCGCAATATGCGTGCTGAATCGCTCTCTCGAATGAATGGTCTCCCATCCGAGATTGTGTTTAAGCTGAGAAACAAAGGCACAAACGGAAGCGACATTTCAATCTTGCCAACCTAATATTAGGTGTTTCAGAAAGTTCTGTCGTTTTCTGACACTCCACTTTTGGATGCTTTATTTCCCTTGAAATCTGGGAAAGCTGCAATTGATGTTGATATCATTTTGAAGAGCTTTTCCAGCTCTATCCAATGCTTAGCTCAACTTTGTCCTAAAATATTTTCTTATAGCTTTTTCAAAGCTTTGAATGCGGTATACTCGATGAGCAAGTTGGCATGACTTTCTTTTTCTAGCTTTAAATAGACCTGAAAGTGGCGGGAACAGTTCAAGATATTAACGATGCTTTTGGCCTAGATTTGCAATAAATGTGCTCAGAAGCAGTAGTTAAAAAATTATTGTAACGAAGGCGAGAGCCTTGAATATGATGAGAGTAGTGGTCGGATATCGGACGGTGTCTCCGATTAGCCAAAAGTTCTGATTGAAGCACTCGTGCGTAAGACCATAGAGGAGGTTCTGCCCAACCTGGGCGTATATGGTTTGTACAGCCAAGCTATACGGAAGAAGCTGGAAAGTCCAAAAAATTTGATAGGGGCGTGCCGCGACAAATCACCAATTTGAAGGGTCGTCCATCAAATTGTCGCTTGTTTTATGTGATAAAGCGACTCGTTTCTCTACAGATTTGCGACGTACAATAAAGAGCAGATTCTTCTCTATAGTCCACGAAGTTTGCTGAATAGATCGACGGCGATGAAGCTCTACAAACTTTGCAGAATTTAAACTGTGCTGGAGGAGGGTTGTGGCAGCTTTCATGGGGTCAGCGGCTGGCCATGTTCTTCAGTATCAGGTGGAACTGTTACAGTGGAGAATCAATCTTTATATTAAGTCAAAAATCATCAAAAACTCTAAGGCATGGGTCCAGCATTCCTCATTATAAAGGAACGCACACATCCCTGAAAGGTGTCTTGAACGCACATCGCACGGCCAACCCTTCACAAGTTGTACCAGCTGAACTTCAGAGTGGTTCTGCGAACATCTTACTTAGTAGACCTTTGATCTATCTACTGTCAAATTTCTGACGATCTCGATAGCTTCCTTGAAGAGAAATACATCAAAACCCAACATGATGCTAAAACGACCTTCCCTCAGTTCATCGCCTCCAGAGGTCCAGCATTCCAAAAAAAACGTAACCAAGTTGAACAGCTTCTTATAGAAAAAGATTCGCATTTTCGAATGATTCTTCAACACGTTGACGACAGGCTGATGCGCATGCGCGTCAGAGATTTTTGCACCGCATTGGACATTCTGACGCGCATGCGCGTCAGAACTATGTCATTCATTTTTATTGTGCTTGCGCTCCTTCTTCTCGAGTTTTTTGTATTCATTCTATAGATAATACATTAGCATAACTATAAACCACATGGCAGCCAGAGTGGTCAAATATCCCTTGATTTAGCAAAGATTTTCTGAACGCACAAAACTTTCATTTTGATTCTTTCCTAGTATTCCTTCCACTGTTGTAAAGATTCATACATATGTAAGATTGTAGAATCAGTTACAAAACTTTGTAAGTTTCGAAATATTTGTATTTGATTGAAAAACTTAAATTGCTTTTAACATCATTTGCAGCTGAAGTTATGTTTTTTGCTTCCTCGTGGTTATTACGCGTTCTTCTAAACGAAAACTTTGCTGCCACAGTTACCCTTTACGCTTTTATCCTTTCCAGAATAATTCTATGAAATTCAAGTTGCCGTGCATTTTAAACCAAAAATTGGTGAGAGTAAGGTGCGCGCTTGCAAAACTGCTCATGTCCCACGCGGTGCAATACGCCAAAACACGCGATGTCGTCAAAGTATTAAAAAGGAGGATTTTACGATTAGAATGGAGGTCGAGAAGAAGTAATTCACCTAGTTGAGTAACCCACGGACCTCCTGAGGGTGCGAACTGATGCGCAATTCGCATCGAAAAATTTGACCTCGGCGACCTATTATGCCTCAAAGTTGGCGGGTCTGGCGATCTCCGCCCACCGACCAGCTGATCACTCGCCGCAGATCTATACGTGGAGTGATTAGATAGCTGAGAGAGCGTAGTGTTGAAGAGGGCACAGCGATGATAGTCGCATCAATGCTCAAATCAACGGGCAAGGAAGGGGTCCCATTTCTCGGGTTCTGGGCCGTTTCTCATGGTTCTTCCTTCTTTCGTGTACCAATCACCATCCCTGAGTTAATTTGAAATGGGTTGCCTTCCCAGCGTGAATTCGTCCTTTAAAGAACTCGATAAGTCAAGTTCTAAGCGCGAGAGGCGTGCATTAAAAGGCTAAAGCTAGGGGTTGGAAAACGACAGAACTTCCCGAAACACCTAATAAAAATGTCCGCACCCTCTCACCTGTTGTCAAAGCCTACCCTATCTGTGTGCTCAGTGTCTCGGTGCCATGGCACAAAAATTCTACAAATTTCTCTCCCCCCCCCCCCCTTTCTCACTGTCGATTCAATTCGTACCCCTGCTTTCTTTTTGACGTGCAAAAATCAAAGCGGATTGATCGCGTATAGTGGGCCATTCAATTCCACGTCATGGACTGCGGGTGGGGAACTAACAAGACCCGTTGGGAACAGTCTGCATGATCCTGCCTTTGTAGCTATTCTTTGACTTATAAAAGCGAAACAGAAAGAGTGCGTGCTCAACGAAGAACTAACGACGAGGGCAAAAGACAAAAGAGGAGAGGAAATGAGCTTCACGCACACAATTGTGAAACAATCTGAAAAAGCGTTCCCGTCGAGGCTTGTAATTTTTGCCGACTCGAATTCAGGAACCCAAGCACTCATTTTAAAGTAAAGGTGCCTTGGTTCCTCAGCACTGCGTCTTTATAATACGAATTTTTGCTTATTCCTAAGGAGATAAATATTATACTTAACATATTGGAAGTTTATATGAAATGTACTGGTCATTTGCATTTGACGAATAATGAGGGGTATCACGAGACTAGGTAACACTTTGTTTGCTTAGCGTTGCAACGGACAGGCACTTTCCTTGCATCAAACAAAAGCAATTCCAATGATATGGAGCCTATTTAACTGCGTGACATCCCCACGAGTGTTTTAACGCATGGACGAGCACCTTCATAGGAGAAAGATGATCATTAAAATTCATACCATGAGAGCACTCACCTTGCAACTCTTGAATTAACACATTTGCTAATGGAGGGAATTTCTTCTTTCTTTACCCTATGAAATCGAAACCGCATTCTGCCAGTTGATTTATTTATTTATTTATTTATTTATTTATTTATTTTATTTATTTATTTATTTATTTATTAATAGCTACTGCACAGGGTTAGGTTGACAGATTCGTATATGAATAAAAACGTATTCACCATAGACAAGAACAAATAATAGAACAAATAAGAATAGGAGGATGAGGATTAGGATAGAACTCAGAAAGAATCAAAGATGGTGTGGCAGCAACAGTTTGTGAAGTATTGGTGCGGGGGGATGGCTAAACAAGGAGGCGAAGGGCAGTGAGCGGCCAACATTGCAGGCCTCTCGCGCAGGTCGGCTCCGGATACCAACTTATAATGTATTCCTCCTGTGGCCATTATTTGGCGGGTGGAGAGATCTAGCTAGAAATACAAAGGAACTTGTGTTATAATTGAGAAATAGTATGAACATAAAATAGACACATACTGGCATGCGGTGTTAGTGGTCAGGTAACCGAGAATCGGGGAAGGCTGTGTTGGAATTGTTGACGACTGCTGAAAGAGAGTGGATTTGCCAGAGAACCTCAAGACTACCTTAACCATTTACATTATCGTGCAGGTGACTCCTTTATCTTCAGGGACCGAATGGCTCTGTAGTTCACAGTAAAACAATTTACAGGGAATGAGATCGACTTACCTATTCCGACCGAATGAAACTTAGCGGACAAGCTTTGCATTGTAATTGAACTTATCACTCTACGTAGCTGCTCACGATATTCTGAAACAATGTTATTGAAGCAAAGTTCTCAGCTGTCGTGGTCCGCACACACATGCGCGAAGTCGTTAGACCAATTCCCTTTCTATTTTGCTTCTTGCCCTCTGAGCAAATTAGCAAAGAAGCTCATTAACTCAACTAGAAAAATTTGATATGCCGCAAACTGCCCACTGATGTTTGCATGGAGAGGTTGTGGTATTTGAGAGTTCTCTCGATAAGAGTGGCAAATACGACAACGTAAGCAGAAACTCCATCCAGTCGTTCTGCGGATATGAAAAGCAGCTTAGATTTCAGCCTCACAAGGCGAATACAACGGCACATCATTTAGCCGACTTGACCTGTGAACCTTCCCTTGTTTGTTATCGGTGATCGAACGAGAGAGTCTTAGGATGGCATGTCATCTCGCAAGATGCATGAATTATAGCTGAATGTTCTCAAATGTCACGTTGCAGCCAACTTTATGAACTTTTCAGCCCAATTCGTAAACGTTGCAACCAATTTCGTTATTCTACCCCAATTCGCCATTCTTGCAAGCAGTTTCATAAACCTTGCAATCAACTGCGGCAAAAAAACTCACCTTATACTGTAGGGGTCATCGAGGGTCCTAATCACAGATGCAACATCCAATTTTTGGAGCCATTAAGCGCTAGGTTTCACCCCAATCATTCCCAGCAAATTCGCTGTAAACTTGTGTATAGGGGTTATTTCGAGCCCAGATCACAAAACATTTATCCCAAAACGAATGTCATAGTCGTAGCCAGGGCTCGAAATAATCTCTATCCACAAATTTACAGCGAATTTGCTGGTAATAAGTCGGTGGCGAAACCTAGCGCAATTATCGGCGCCGCCAGTCAAATCCCCAAAATTTAGCGCCGGATCAAAATGGGTCTCGCTCAGAACGACTAAATAACCCCCTTAAGTAAGTGTTAGCGATTTTTTTTGTCAAAATCCATTGCGAGGTTTACGAAATTGCTCGCAAGAATGACAAGTTGACAGAAAAGACAAGCAATAGATATAGGCAACTTCCACTATGCGGCCCAGTTGCTAAAATCATTAGCGAAAAATCATTATTGAGAATATTCCCCATAAAAGAGACGTAATTGACTTTTTTCAGTTACGGAAAGAGCTGAAGAGCCGGAAAGTCCAAAAGACTTTACAAGGGTGAGGGCAGATGTGGTATCGTCCTCCGTTTTCTCATTTGTTCTATCTGAGAAAATGACCTAGCTCCCTACTGTTTTGCGATTACTATGTACAGATTTCCTGCCACAATCTATGGAGCTTTTATGAATGAACTGATCACAATCAAGTTCCACAACTTCACAAACGAAACTGCAAGCTAAGCAAAGTTATGCTTTTTGCGTGAGTTCAGGTGGCCCAGCTGGGCCAATTCCTGAACTGTTGAAAATACATTGAAGAAATATTTCGAAAATGTGTCAAAATACATCAGAAGCTCTCACACATTTGCTCTGTATTCCTCACCATGAAGAGAACGATTCAGCTCTGGCAGATGGCTCGCACGCGCAACTAACTCTGCACTGTTGAACCAGCTCAGCACGTGTCACTGCTGGCTAACATCTTACTTTGTACATTACACTTCGTGGCTTTCCCCTTTTCACCTTTTCGAGGACGTAGAAACATCTGCTAAAGAAAAACGTATTGGAATTCAATATGATACAGAAACGACCCTCGCTGGGCTCATCGTCTCCAGTGGCATTCCAACAGCCTATCGCTTCTTATTGTCAGAGGTTTGTGAATAGTGGTGCTCTTTATTCAACTGAGAATGCCTTGTTTGAGCCAAAGTAAGTACATTCGAAATCTAGAGTTTAAAACACCTGAATTTTTACAAAAGCCTAAAACATACATCTACACATTCTCTTTCTCGTTTATTTGATCTTATCAGTACCTATCGATCTATATTAGTGGCAGAAAAAGATGGTGAGTAAGTGGGTAACGAAAAGAAATAACAGCAAAATGTCGAAAACTCATGAGGAGAGTCAAAAACCAAAGGTTTTCCACGGTGGTGTTGTTGTCGTGGTGCTTCGGCCTCCATACAGGCAGTTGGTAGAGGTGTAGAAACACAGATTAGTGCCACTGCAACCCTGAGTCAATTTTCCCTTAACATTCCACTGTTAACACGAGCGGCTTTGCGATTTTTCAACGCCCTTACATACCAGATTTTTATATTTATCACATATACAAACATGGAGTCGCTCCATCACTGTCGTGCACGTGGCCTGCCCCACATTTCGTCGTATGTCTTGAAGTAAATATTATCTTCATTGGTGGTTGAACTGGCAAGTTTCTTTAACTTTGTTTCTTTCAGTTGACGAGACCATCGAATGGTGAACCACACAAGTATTGGTGACATTACGGTGTAGTACGGAATGGTCTAAAAATAATGCGTTCAAAAAGCTAGCTCCAGAAACGGTTGAAACTCCAGAAAGAAATGTCATTTGATTTTTTCTGTGTTATCGCAAATATCGTCTTCGGGCTATTATAAATTACGCCAGGAACAAAAATCTCGTGGAGTTTTTTGCAATGTTGCAGGGTGCTTTAAAAGATTTTTCGATTTGTCTGAAGCAAAGAACCAAGAAAATAAGGACACAAGCCTCAGATGCAGATGGAGTATTTCCAAATTCCAATATGGGCTAATGCTCTCTTCACTAAAGGCACAGGTTGTGATCAAATTGGTGTGCTACTCAGTTCAAAGTTCAGACAAGAAATGCAGTGAATGACGCTAGGAGACGAAGTAATAAAATTGCCAAGTAAAATACTGAATTTTCCTTTATGATATCGGTAGTGTTATGACGGAGAGACACGCGCTGCTAGGAGACGTGTACGCGAGACGTGTGCTGCGATCAAAGGATGGCAATGCTGGCAGCGGACAGAGCACACTCTTACGCAGTTTTTATTCGAAACACTTCTGTGCCTAGGATCCCACTTCTTTCATTGGCTGGAACTGGCTCTTGGTAACTGACTCCAATCTGTGGCCCGAAGCGAGCATGGGTGACCAAGTTGAGCCCATTTCACGTTGCAAACAGAACAACTTTGAGAGAGCTACATGCTCGATGAAATAGAGAGCACATCAGCGTCGACGCGAGAGTGGAAGTCGTGGATTATAGAGCAGACAGAACAAGAACCATTCCCCTCAAGCATGCTGCTCAAGGTCGGTAGTGTTTCTTCGTGTGCAGCTATCCAGGAGCATACGATTTCAGTGGTACCGCTAACGATTTCCGAGTTTTCCAATGTAAACTCAACTTGAGTGAATAGCATAGGGTAAACTTACATAGGTTGCAGAAGTTAGTGTTACATATAGGGTTCTGTCTAAATCTTCGGATAGTAGCGAGACTATTGCTCCGCTAATCGTGAAGGATATATAGAACAGCGTCTGAGATACTGCTAAAGGCACAATCATCCGTATGACGCTCGTACTTTCAGAAAGCTGATAAGAAGACTTGAGATCGTAACTCTTCCTAAACTACGGCTTTTCATAGCAGCGCCAGCCTTCAATAAGATGAGAAAAAGAAAGAATATGATGAATCATGCAAAGAATATTGCTGCACTTTCTCATCTTTTTGTCCACTCTGAACATTCAAAAACTTTACCATGTTTCCTACAGTATTTTTTGAATCAAGGTTTCTCGAGTATTTGCATGATTTCAAGAAACAATCATGCGTTGCATGATGGTTTCTTGAAAGTAAGTTGATTTGTTGAAGGAAGATCAATTTCTCTTGTGAACGTACTGCGAATAGTCATCGTATATGCGAATTTGCAGAGAAAAAAGGACTTTGAATGGCAACTTTCAAAGGAGCTTATATTTTGGACAGGGCTGATAGAAAGTGAGGAGTATAAAATGAAGCATAATACATGGTGATGTGTCACTGATTGACATTTTAGAGAATTTTTCATTCACACTTGATATTTCCCATTCGCCACCATCTGTGACAGAAGTGATGTGAGACAAAAGAACCAAATTATGTACAGACTTCTTATTTAGTAGGATTGTTCCATGAATTTCAAGCTAGTCTTTCGTTTTCCCCACTAAACTGTTGGAGCAAGGGGTTCAATGTACCGCTTTTGGCGGAGGAGGAATACATGATTACATCCACGAAATAATTTAGATCAGTTAGGTTTGAAAGGTACAGTGATAGACGATATTTATAACTTTTTTCAGAAATAGTTCCGTATCCATAGATTGAAAAAGTAAAAACCTTGCATTCTCCAAAATTCTAGTCAAAATGTTATCAATACTCGAGTTTTTCTGAAGCTATACGGAACAGCCATAAAGTGCGATCTCGAGGAGAGAAGAGTAACAGCAGCGTTGGAGCAAGAGGCTGGAAAACGCTGAGAAGAATCTACGCAAAAAATTCCATCAGTTTTGGTAGGAATTTCGAAAACCGAAAGGGCTGCTACGCGTTCAAAGTGCCGCCGGACATCTTTCACAAATGCTGGCGACGGGGATGCTTCCACTTGGTTCTTGGAGTGTTCACTAGAAACTCTTTCTGGCCTTTTGACTTATTGCATTCACATCTCACACTTCTACTGCCATCCTATTCTATCGATCGATTTGTCTCTACTCTCCAAATCGCGCGCTTTAACCCGATTCTTTCATTGCGTCGCCTGATACGTAGCCGCCCCAAGGCGGACTTCTTTCCATGCCTCGCCTTTGGCTCCGCGCCTTTTACCTTCGATTGTCCATAGAGTGTAGTTTTTGTACGTTTGTTTCTCTTCGGAAACTGAATCTTCATGCGTGAAACTTTGTGTGCTGTTTCTAGTGATCACAACTGACATATGCGTGTTGGGAAAGAATGCAAGAATTTTCTGGGCGGGATTCCTTTTCGCCTTCGCCAACTTCGCCAACTATAAAACCATACGTTTGTTGTTGTACAAAAAAAGGGACATGGGGCGGAAGTAAAATACCAAACTAGCAAATTAAAGTGAGGAAATAGGGACATAACCTTTCTTGAAACCGCCAGCTTCGCCGCACTACCTGCAGAAGTTGCACCTCTCTCGACTTGAGCCCCTGGTGGTAGGACTCGTAACTGGGTTTTTGGCCCTGCACAAGGATCACACCTCTGGAAGAGATGTTGATGACAGGTAAGCAACGGATGTTGTTTGCAAATCTTAGACTTCAAGCGGTATTGATCCAGCAACCTTACCAGTGGCGGCATGGAAGGTTTCCATTGAGCCATTGGCAATTCGCCATACACCATTGACGAATCAATGCAGGGTGCTTCCTTTCTCTTTGCAAAACCCTGCTTTG